GCCTGCTTCTCCCTCTCCCACTCCCACTGCTTGTATTCCCTCTCTCTCTGTGTCTCTCTCTGTCAAATAAATAAAATCTTTAAAAATAAATAAATAAATAAAATCACTTTTTTCTAGAGTTCTCCTGCTAGTTTGATGGAACATTTAAACTTCATTTGTTAAAATTTCTTGTAGCAGCCGTATGTAGCTTACTTTGGTGTATTATGAAGATAATATAAAGGTAAGGTGATTTGGAAATTTTGAATCCTTTTTTCTTTTAAACTATGTAATTGGAAATTTCTTGGAGAGGCAATTTTACGTAGCGGTTAAGAGTGTAGGCTCTAGAATCACAGTGTCTGTTCTCATCCTGGTTATACCTCTTAATACTCGTGTGAACTTAGGCAAGTTACTTCTCTGTGCCTCAGTGTCTTCTGTAAATCAGGGATAATAGTAGAACCTCCTCCCGAGGATTGCTATGATGATTAAGTGAACTGGTACCTGTAAAGTGTTAAGAACAATGCCTGGCCTAGACTAGTGCTCAGTAAGTGTTAGCTATTAAAGAAAATATTAGGTTCCTCCAAGATAAGTGTATTTTTACTACCTCTTTTTACAAGGGGACCATAAAGTATCTGAATTTGAGACCAGGACCTATAATTAAAATAGACTAGGAAAACCAGAGCCCTGATACCACTTATTGTAATTAAACTTTGCAAGTTTCAACCTATACGAAAGATGTGTTTTTATTAAATGTTCAACTGAAATAAGTCGTTACTCAGTAAATAATATATTTTTCAGAAGTTATTTTGGTTTTTAAAGTTATATAATCCTCCTTTGATTAACTCTTAGAGCACTGATGATTTTTAGATTTAGATTTAATCTGAGCTTCTCTTGAAAAGTGGCTAAGAGACAGGGTCCTCTGTTCCCTAATCCAAAAGACAGAGAAGCACAGTTTTCTCTTCTTGCCATGATTGGCAGTAAGATTAATTGCTGACAATGATGGAAGAGTTGAAGCTGCAAACGATATCTCAATTGAATGTTTAGAAAATATAAGGAGTCCAGTGTTACTTATGTGTAATGTATAATGCCAAGAGAGTTAAGAAATGAGGATAGGGGGTGTGGAGTTTACCCTCTGGAGATTAGTAAAGTTTAATTGAAGGATCTTAAGAAGAGATACATTCTCAGTGGAGATTGAAGCATAATTGATGACTGAGGGGAGAGCCCAGTGAAGAGAAGTGTTAAAAGAAAAAGAAAAAAGAACCAATGAAAGAATGGTCTAGTCCCAGGAGCTGTGAATCAGAAACACAGGTGGAGGGTCTTAATCTGGGATATGGAAAAAGTTGATGTGTGATGTTGAGAGCCTAGGTGAAATTGCAGATGTATCTTTCCAATGGCATTCACCCACAGTTTGTAACAGTGTTAAAATCCCTTCCTTGTAAGAGTGGAGAAAGCAGTACTAGTATTGAGTTGAGGATGGATGTCTTGAGACAACATGGTGGCTAGGCATTAAGTGATTAATTCATGTAATTGTCTAGGTGGTAAATAAGCAAGTTAGAGCAGGAGGGAATTATAAGCCTAAAGAATATGAGAGTAAAAAACCCAGAATTTATAATGAGGTCTCAAGGAGCATATGTAGTGTGAGGGTGTGAGAGAACTGGAGGGACAGGATCTAGAGATACCCGTATTTTGGCATGATGGCAAAGCTCAGGTTGTGGCTCTATTGGGTAGCGGTGAAGGTTGTTGAGAATGGGGAGATCCTAGAACTGTGAGATTTCTAATCTTGTCTACCTGGTTGTTGAATTCTATCAGGATGATGACAGAAGTTGGGTTTGAGATGTGGCTACAGATGCTTGTGTAGGTTTAAGGCCAGGAGTCAAATTTCAGCGCAATTGGCAGAGTAACTGGGAAGACAAACATCAGCTGAAGTTACAGGTAGTAGTTAAAAATCTGGATATTCTCGGTTTCAAAATGGTGCTTTTTTCATGAGGGTAAAAGAATAATAGGTAGAATCAACAGCAACAATTAATTAATGAGTAATCTGTAAAATTGAATGACTTTTGCGGGACACTCCCTATTTTCCTATTTTAACAGATGTTAAATCCTCAGTCCAGAACAGGGAAGTGACTTGGTCACACAGCTGTACAACTAGTAAATAGTAGAATCAATATTCAGGCCCAGACATCTTTATACTATTCTACCTCTGTTGGTTATGGGAACTAAAATTGTTTATTATTTTAATTTTCATACCTTGGATTGAAACTAGATTTTAGAACTTTTGAATCTTTTGCAATTGGACATAATCTTGCATTTTATTATTTTTAATAGACAATGTGATTTTTTTTAAAGATTTTATTTTTAAGTAATCTCTACACCTAACGTGGTGCTCAAACTTACAACCCAGAGATCAAGAGTTACATGCTCCACTGACTGAGCCAGCCAGCTGTCTCTGGACTGTGATTTTTAGTGTTTCTTTGTTATTATTTTTTACTGTTTTTAAGTAATGAAGCCACTTGCAGCTTGAAATCTGTGGTGATGAAGGGTTGGATTCTCTTATTAAGGCTCCCATCACTGGGGGTGGTGTAATCCCACACATCCACAAGTCTCTGATTGGAAAGAAGGGACAGCAGAAAACCATTAGAGCATTGTTTTAACTAACCCTCTTCCTCCTCGTCATTGTACTATACCTGGGACAGAAGAAATAATGGGGATATGTGGAATTTTAAGAAGAGGCGGATGGAAAAGCCTAGATAGTTCCTGTAGACGTGGTAAGAGACATTTGTACGTTCTTAGGCTCAAAGTTTGATAAAGTACCTTTCCATGTGGCAGCACTTGTGTGTTGACTGGCTAGGTTTCTCCCGTGTGTTTTATACAAAAAAATGGAATAGATAAACCATTTTCTACAAAAAAAAAAATGACAGGCTATTGCTCCCTTTCTCCATTTACTTGACCTCAATAAATAACAGATTCATTTCTGCTTTTCTGCACTGGGATGTTAGAAATTTGGCATTTCCAAACCTCTTCTATAGGAAGTTATTCTAATTTAAAGAATTGGCCTTGGGATCCCTGGGTGGCAGTAAAGTGTCTACCTTCGGCTCAGGTCATGATCCCGGGATCTTGGGATCAAATCCTGCATCAGGTTTCTTGCTAAGCAGGGAGCCTGCTTCTCCCTCTGCCTGCCACACCCCCTGCTTGTACCCACTCTTTCTCTCTCTGACAAATAAATAAATAAATAAATAAAATCTTTAAAAAATGAAAAAATAAAAACATAAAAAAAATTAAAGAATTGGCCTTTCTTCCAAAAGAAAAATATATCAATGACTAACCCTGGGAATCTGAGAATTCTTTATTTTTGAGCTTTTAGCACCACTGTTCATATTTTTTTTTTTAAGATTTATTCATTCATTTTAGAGAGTGTGCATGAGTGGGGCAGGGGCAGAAAGAAACAGAGAAATCCTCAAGCGGACCCCACGCTGAGTCGAGAGCCCAACATGGGGCTCTATCCCAGGACTCTGAGATCATGACCTGAGCCAAAATCAAGATTTGGACACTTAACTGACTGAGATACCCAGGCGCTCTACCACTGTTTATTCTTTTTTTTTTTTTTAAAGATTTTATTTATTTGTTTGACAAAGAGAGAGAGATAGTGAGAGATAGCAAGAGCAGGAACACAAGCAGGGGGAGTGGGAGAGGGAGAAGCAGGCTTCCCGCAGAGCAGGGAGCCCTATGTGGGGCTCGATCCCAGGATTCTGGGATCATGGCCTGAGCCGAAGGCACTTAACAACTGAGCCACCCAGGTGCCCCTAATTTAACTCTCCTAATAAGGCCTGGCCTTTCTGAATTCTCCACCGAAAGTCCTGGATGTTCAGTGAAGCTGCCTAGAACTCACTCATCTCCCAGCCTATGTGAGCTCTGGGAATTGTTCAGCTTATAGCTCCCTGGCGGTTCTTTGCCTGGTCTAATGAAATCTCCCCCTAAACATGTACAGCTTGATATTTGGCCAAAGACTCGAGGAGATACTCTGCAGATTTATGGAGCTCTGTCTCTGCATACTTCCCTCCCTGGGGGAACTCTCCTCACAAATTCCAACTTGCTCAGTCTCCCCAAACTCTGATCTCCATCTCCTCAACTCAGTGAGAGTGCTGTGTTTTGCTCGTATTTCTCCTCCTTATCTCACAGTCTATATAGTGTACAGTATGTGTATGTATATACATATATATACAGTATGTGTATATTTGTAGTTTATACCATAGTATATTATGTAGTATATAGTATACGTATAGTACCTTTAGGCAAAAATCTGGGGTGACCTTAGGGCTCATTTCATTTTTCTTCTTTCAGGGATCATTGTCTTCCCCTGCTTGCTGTAAAGTATCTAAAAATAGTTGTATCATATAATTATATATCTTACACAGTTTTCTTGCTGTTTACAGGGGGAGGGCAAGTCCATCATGGCTGGAAGTCAAGTCCCTGCTCATATAGTTTTGATTCTACTTTATTCTTAAGATTTTACTTATTTATTTATTTGTCAAAGAGACAGAGAGAGCACAAGCAGGGGGAGTAACAGAGGGAGAGGGAGAAGCAGGCTCTCCATTGAACAGGAAGCCCAATGTGGGGCTCATCCCAGGACCCCGGGATCATGACGTGAGCTGAAGGCAGATGCTTAACCAACTGAGCCACCCAGGTGTCCCTGATTTATTCTTATTTAAGTGGGTGCTTAGTTAATGGAAATCCCATCCAGCTGATTATGCAGGGGGTTATAGGGCCGCGCCTCTGAGTTTTGGGTCACCGTCTTTACTCGCCTGCCATAGGATTTCAGGTAAGCACAGACTGGGCCATCTTGAATGACAGCAAGATTAGCAATTTTATTAGATTACTCTCTCATTAATTTAGGGCTACTGAAGTTTAAAAAATGCTACATTTTTGTTAAATCCTCTTGAATCAGATCCCATTCTTGTAAATCATATTTTCCTGATGTGAATTGACTTAGCTGTATTGTTAATTACTATATCCTTTTCAAATTTCAGGAGCAGCATTTCTTGCTATTACAACCGTCTATGCTGAAAGTGGGTCAGGTTTTGTAGTACCAAGTGCTTCTGCTAAAGCAGGAGTGGAAGCCATGAGCAAGTGAGTACTACTATGATAATCCCAGCACCGGAGATAGATAATGTACTTTGGTAGTTCATGGAGCTTAATTTCCTCCTTCTAGTCTCCATCCAGAGAAAAGTAAAACAAAGATTAACTTGGATTCACTTGGAAACAGACGTTCTAGCTCTTGGATAAGTCTTATTTGTCTATATCAGCACTGTGCAATAGAACTTTCTGCAGTGATGGAAATGTTTTATAAATCTGCCCTATCAAGTTGCCACATATGAAACACTTGAATTGTGGCTACTGTCACTGAGAAACTAAATTTTATTTAATTTTAATTACTTTAAAATTAAGATTAGATAGCCAAATGTAGCTAGTAGCTGCCATATGAAATAGCACAGGGCTATAGCCTTTTTGCTCTCCCATATATCTTTATCGGTGCTGTTTCTGATTTGTTAAACACACCTCCATCCTTATATTGTACCTGCTGTGCAAGATTAATAGGACTAACATAAACCAGTGACCACTTGCCAGATCTTGTGGCCTTTTCTCAGCAGCATATGATTGCTTTTCAAATCTATTCCCCATTGGCCTTTTCTACTGTCTTTGTTATAATGTAGGTTCTCATCATGGCTTACTGTAATAACCCTATAATGTGTTTCTCTGCTACCAGTCTCTTCCCTCTTTATTTTTTATTCATCTTCCCACCAGAATCATCTTTCTAAAAATATGTCTGCTTATGATACTCCCTAGCTAAAATCTTAGATCATTTTTTATTATTATTTGGAATAAAAGCAAAACCTTAGTATGGTATTCTAAATAAACTTGTCCCTGGCCTTTGTTTATTTATTGATTAATTGGATAAATGTTTATTGTGTTCCTTTTGTGTGCCTGGCACTGAGCTAGGTCCAGGGATAGGTTATTGATAGAAGTAGAATAGTTCTCATCCTCCCCTGAGTGGATAGCATTATACTGTTTTTCTTGTGTTTTAATCTCTATTGAACTGCTCTGTATTTCCTTAAATATGCCGTGTGTTTTCATCTCTCTGTTTCTGGCCTATGCTGCTGTTGGAATTTGCTGTGATATTTTCCCTGCTTTCAAGGCTCTCATCATATCACCTCCTCTAGGAGGTTTTCTCTCATTGCTTTAGAACAGAATTAATTATTCTCTGCTCTGTGCACCCTTAAAACTTTGTTTATTCCAATCTAGTGAGAAGACTAACACACTAATAAATAAATGCTATCCATTGTTATAGAGTCTAAAATGAAGGTCATGTACCAATATGGTAAGGACACAGAGAAGGACATGCAAGGCTGCTTTCGAACATATTGTTAAAGCTATGTGACCTCCCCACTGGGATGTGACTTCCGTGAGGGAGGGACCATACCTTATTCATCTCAGTATACTTATTTCTCAGCAGGATCTGGTGCGTGGCTGGTGCTCAGTGTTTGCCAAAACATCATTGTTCTTTTCTTCCAGTAGTCCCAAAGTATTTTTCAACATTGAAATCAGTAACACATATTTATTTGAGATAAAAAGACGTATTACTATACTTAGAAGTGGAATCTTAGTGTAAATAGAGGTAATTACTTTTTTAATGTCGGGTGGCATTGGAAATAAGGAATTAGAACTTGACTATTTTGGCATCATTTGTACAGTATCAGTATTTGTCTTGTTGGGACCTTTGATCTTAGAGGTTTCAGTGTCGTGTCCTTTAAGAACTGTGATTCTGTGCTGCTTGTTTTTTGTTTTGTTTTGTTTTATTGTGTAGCGTATTGCATGGAGTAGATACTCGGTAAATGTTTACTTACTCTCCAGCCTGAGTTCCCGTCAGTCCTCTTCTCATACTTTATAGGACACAGTCATACTGGATGAGGCCTTGTAGGTCACCAAATACTGCATGTTGTTTGTACCTTTGTCCTCTACTCATACTGGTCCATATACCTGCGCTGTCTTTTTTCTCCATCCTACACCCTATTATCTCCCATCCTCTTTTCCTCCCCCTTGCTTCCCACAATAAACTCCTAATCCTTCTTCAAGTGTCAACTCAAATATCACCTCTTCCAGGAAGCCTTCCCTCTTACTCTCAGTAGACTTAGGTACTTTTTCCTATAAGCAGTCATGGTGCACATTACACAATTCCCAGCAGAGTAACTAGTTTATTATACAACTAAGCTAACCTCCCTTGAGAGAGAAGGACTGCTGTCTTGAGAGGCAGAGACTGCCTTCCTTTGAGGGTAAATAACACTTACAAAAGGTTAACACATAGTAAATACACAATAAGCATCTGTTGATTTAACAACACAATGGCTAACATATATTGGGTATATTGTGCTTTGCATCTCAACATGCAAAACAAGCTAATGAGGTGGATTTGTTATCATGTTATGGTAGTTCTTCAGAATATAAGCTAATTTAATGAGAGCTAGGACTGGAAAAAGTGTATCTGTTGCACCTCTGAGCAGAGATAGGATGGCTTTTCCTCTAGGCAGGTTTCCTTAATAGGTTGCTCAGTTTTTCACAGGAAACCATAAACTGTGCTCAGCTTGTAATTCTGTTAAGACCTGAAGTTGCTACTTCCCTAGCAGTTTGGAGCAGGTGCACTACAAGTACATGCCAAGGGGAGGTATAGTCATGAATTCTGTCAAAGGCATCACTCAGAAGCAATTTTTATGTGTGATTTGCCTAAAAGAGATGCAGTCCACCCATTCTCTAAAATGCATCCATGGAGTAAGATAAACAGACTGTACTTGGAGCGCTTGCCCCCTATCCTATAGAATGAGTTTTGCTGAACTGGCCTTTGAAGTGACCTTGTCACACTATATTAATTGGTATCTTACAGTTTCATAAGACTTATCTCTTTGTATCTATTGCAAGGATACAGTATTGTCTTACTGTCTTATACAGTTTTCATTTTAGAAGTCTTCTTGAAAGAAATTTTTCTGATTTTTTTTTTTTATCAGGAACAATTGTGCTTTTCCTGAGAAATTGCCTTGCCTTTCCCTTATGGGCACTGCAAAGTGTGTAGCTGATTAGGGCTTACCTTTTTTGCATTGCATCTTGGAAAGAATGGATGCAAATTTGTGACCCACTGATTGTGATTATATAGAATGCCACAAAACATTTAGGTATTAGCTCCATTCTTGGCTCCTTTGTCTTTCCTTATCCATTTTTCAATTCCTTTCTCCTTTCCTGCTTCCTTCTTTTGTCTGTGTCTCTCTTTTTCCTTTAAACGATTTTATCTTCCTCATTTGCGTTATATGTATTTTTTAAAGTTGTTACCTTAAGTCATATTTTAAAACGAGATTCAGTATATATACACACAGAGGTACATATGAGTATAAAGTCCTAAAACGAGTTTAGATAATAAAAGTTAGACCTGTCTATCAAGTAGGCTTTTAAAACAGATTGCTTCAAGTTTCCATGTTTGCTATTATTGTTGTATTTTGCTTCACGACATTTAGTAAGATTTTGTTAGATTCCTATTTCCCTTTGAGTGCAGTGCAGCAATTGTATTAAAGCCTCGTTAAACATGGTTGTGGTTAATATTTTATATTTATGTAATCCATCTCTTGCTTAAAAGTACTCATGATGTTGCGAACATTGTAATGCAATGTACTATATATAAGTAGTACATGTTGCACTGAACTCCAGAAAATGTGGGGGAGGGGCATGATTCTCTCACCTCTTTATGCTAAATTAGGATACTTATTCTAAAAATGTATTTTGATATTAGACTTAGTTCTAAAATGTAAGTGGTAGGTCGTATAGCATTGTGATTAAGGACACTAAGATGCAAATGGTAGATATTACAGCAGAGTGATTGAAGGCACAAATTCTGGAACTAGACCACTTGAGGTTTGTCACTAGCCATATGACTCAGAGCAAGTGATTTAATCTCTCTGTGCCTCAGTTTCCTTGTCTGTAACATGAGGAATGATAGTAGTACCTACTTGTTGGGGTTGTAGTCTCTGGCATATAGTAAGCATGCAGTGAGTCTGGATTATTAGTATTTTTGATATATAGTATAATATTTTAGAATATTAAAATATTGGTGTTTATTTTAATTTTTAGGTCTCTTGCAGCTGAATGGGGTAAATATGGACTGCGATTTAATGTGATTCAATCAGGGCCTATAAAAACAAAAGTAAGTTTTAGTTTGCCTATTAGCTCCTGAATGATTAAGGAATGAAATATTGACTGACTGTTGTGTGCAGGACTTGTCAGAGATGCCTGAGTTTGGATCCCTAGCGTTAGGGTAGTGGGCTTTGCCATTATCCAATATAAATAAGGAGGTGGGCAGGAATACAACAGCTATGTAACTTCTTGATAAGATCTATTTCAACATCTTAATCTTCTGGGATCTTTTGTGCCATCCATTTTGGTATTTCGTCTGATTTGCTTCAGTAATCTGTTATTAACCTATATTTCTTAATCCTCACCATATTTTATGGATTCTTACTTTGATTGACGTCTCTTTTTTAGTTCATAGAAATGTAAGTATATTTTTATTTTAAGAGATGTTCTAGAAAGTTATCATACAGGCTTGGTCTTGCTATAGGTAGCATTTTCTTCGACTCCTATCTGTGCCTTTCACTTGCAAACACTCAATTATGCATGTCATTTAACTCCCATTTCTCTCTGATTACAAATCTTTCTGATGGCATGCTTTTCTCCTCTAGTCAGTAATGCTTACAGATACTCATTGCAACTCATAATGATCACTAATGCTCTTATAGTCAGAAGGCCCACAGGTTCTGTGTTCTCTCACATTGCCCCAGATAACTTCACTCTTACTTTTTGTTTTTATGTAAAGCAAGAATTTACAATCCCAACTGACCTGTAGCTCTGAGGGCCTAGGTGAAGTATGATAACTTGTTTTGGTTGTAGAAATACGTTAGAAAATAGTGCTGAGGAGCATTTGGATTGTAGGTAGTTCTGGGTGTTATATGGACATGGCTGCATTAGTTTATTTAGCAGTTTAAAGGGTGGAAAATGGGAAGAAGAACTACTTGAGTGAGTGACTCTTGATTATCTTGTTTGACACTCCAATAATAAAGAATCTAATACAATTAATGGGAAAATAACTCAAAAGCATACATTAAAACACATGATTCAGGGCAGCCCTGTGCTGAGCACTCTCTGAAGAGAAACCTGGAGTCACAGAAGCTTCTTTTTAGGATCTCAATCTCCAGGAGAGATCACCTGCATTTTATTTATTTATTTAAAATATACTTATTGAGGGTCGGCTATGTGGGAAGGTACTGAAGGTGCATTTGTTACAGAGTACTTGCCATCAAGGAGTTTACAGTGTAGCAGTACAGGAATCAGTTGTACACAAGTAACAAGCATGTAGCTTTAAAGAGATTAAAAGAAAACGGAAGTGTAGAAACTCCATAGCGATCCCGACAGAGCCAGGATCAGGACCTGTTGCTACCCTTTGTCTCTGCTAGTTTATACCCGCCCAGGGAGGGCAGGAGGGCTGGAGGGCTCACAAGGAGCCTCCTGAGAGCTTGCTCTGTCTCTCACCTTCTTCTTCTCCTTTTTTTAAAAATCAGTGCACATGCATACTTCATCTTGGTCTGCACCTTCACATCATTAACAGAAGGCAGACGTTGGTTGGCAAATTTAGTTACGGGGTTTTTTTGTTTTTTGTTTTTTTCTCAAGGATCTACTTGTATTTAATATTCCTACATACTTGTTTTCTTCCTTTCTAATTATTTTGGGAAGAAAGAAGAAAAGGAATTTCCTTTTAAAGCTTTCCTACTTGAGTCACTTTTCTGTGATTATTCAATCAAACATCATCAGTACCACTGCATCAACCACACTAAGCATGTACAGATTTCAGAGTACTATCATATACATTTTCTCATTTAATGCTTACAACAATTTTGTGAGGTAGCTAAAGACAGATCTCATTTTATAGATGAAGGTAAAAAGGTTATATTTTCTGGTGATTTTTTTAGGTCAGTATTATGTAAAATGACTTGTTTTGAGCTGAAGTGACTCTGGAAGAATTTGGCAAAATTCTCTATTGTTTACAAGGCCTGAGGTATGAACAGGCTGCCATAGTAATATTCCATTTTATGCAGACTTGCTTCTTAAATTTTTTTAACGCAACCTAACTATTTTCTTAATTTTTAAGGGTGCCTTTAGTCGTCTTGACCCAACCGGAACATTTGAGAAAGAAATGATTGCTAGAATTCCTTGTGGTCGGCTAGGAACTGTGGAAGAACTTGCAAATCTTGCTGCTTTCCTTTGTAGTGATTATGCTTCTTGGATTAATGGGGCAGTAAGTATTGTTTTCTCTTGACTTTTTGGGGAGGTGGATTTGGGGTGAGAAGGCATTTTGTGGAACCATTCCTGACAATATTGAATATAAATATGATTTAAAATAATTTTTAGGCTGTAAATAATATAAAAATATTAATATAGATTGTTTAGGCTATGGAATTTGTTTATTGATAAATTAATTTTATCAAATGCCAATTACTCTGGTAGACATGCCAGATGATCTTTAATATTGGGTAGAATTTGAAATTGTGGAGATGGGGGAAAGAGGATTCTAAAATGAGTAAATCAGATTAAGTTTAATCATGACTTTTCTTTTCAAACTTTGGGTTTTGATTGAAAGTGCCAAGGAGATGTTCTATTCAATTAAGATGGGAAAATGGCTAATGTTTCAGAAACTTTTTAAAAGGAGTTAGTTTCAGAGTTTTTTTTTTTTTTTTTTTCCAGGCCATTAGATTTGATGGTGGAGAGCAAGTATTTATTTCAGGGGAATTCAACAGTCTGAGGAAGGTAATGCCATTTTATGAATATAATATAATATTAGCAGCTAAGATACCAAGCTTTAAAAATATGCAAGAACCATATAAAATTGCCTTTTTCTGTTTGTGTTAGGTTACCAAGGAGCAGTGGGACGTAATAGAAGGACTCATCAGGAAGACAAAAGGCTCCTAAGACCACTCTGGCCTTCATCTTGGTTACAATGGAAATGATACAATCTATGATATTTTGAATTATTTTCAAGTCTAATAAATTGTTAATTAACAAACACGGACTGAGTATGTATCATGTGCCAGGCCAGTGGTAGTTAGACATTGTATATTAAGAGATACATAGAATGGGATATTTTCCCTTCAAAATTTTTTTTAAGAATTAAAAAAAGGCAAGTAAAAGAAGGCTTTGGGAGAGGTAAGATGCTTGGAAGTGCAGTGAAAGAAGCAGATGTTATAACCTGGAAAAATCAGGAGAATCTTAATGGTGGAAGTAGCTTTGAGTTATGTATTAAACCATGCCTATGGTTATGGAGCCTAAAAAAAAAGAAGTTGAAGGTATACGGCAAATTTAATGGACTCTGCCTTTCCATTATATTTCCTTTTCACTGGACTTGTGAATTATCTTCTGTAGAGAGCTCAATATTAATTCAAACAAACTTTTGCCAGGACCTATTTTATAGCCTGGCGTTTTATTTGGTAGTGAGGATACAACATGAACCATCTACAGCCTTTGCCTTCTTAAAACATTATCTAGAAGGATAGAGAGACCTATAAATAATTATTTGCGATGCAATGTGATAAATATTCCAGCAGTGCAAAAGTGTGAGGGAGGAAGTAATTCATTCAGTCTCCAGAGTGTAGAGAAAGTGACACTTAGGAGATCTCATTCCATCTCCGCTTTAAAAGAGGAGTAGATTTCTCTAGGTAGAGAAAATGAACAAGCTTATAAAATATATTTGTGTATAATTTCATTTCATTTCATATTTGGTTTGACTATTTTATCATCCCAAGAATCAAATAATAAACCCGCAGTCTCAAATGTATATAGCTATAATTTTGAGCTTATATTAAAAAAATGGTCTATTTTGCCTTCACAGGAATCACTCATAAACATGCTCACTAGACTCTCTGCATTGCTCAAATTACCAAGAGAGGGGACCAACTTCCATCTTAGCTCCTTTGAATAGATCTGCAAAGGAATCTAGTTTTCCTGTTTGACTATATATGCTGTAAGCCCCACATGGAAACACTTAACTACATTCAGAGTTAATTGTGTACATAATTTACATTAAATTGTGTATATAAATAGGTAATGTAGGTTTGCAATAAGTGGCCTTGACATTCTCAATCTTACTGGGCTTTTTAAACACTTTTTTCTTCTATTAATCATCTCTTAGTGTTTGCTTCATTATATATATATGTATATTTTAAGATTTATTTATTTAGGAGAGAGAGAGCAAGGGTGAGGGGTAGGGAGAGAGGGAGAGAGAAACTTTAGCAGACTTCCTCGCTGAGTGTGGATCCTAGGACCCTGTGATCGGGACCTGAGCCGAAACCAAGAGTGGGACACTTAACCGACTGCATCACCCAGGTGCCCCCTCGTTGTTGTATTCTATTACAAATGATGAATGAGGAAGAAAAACTTGTAAGCATGGAAGAGAAAGCCAGAAAAGAGAAATTTTTCAATTGATTGAAATTTCTTCCTAAGAAAGAAATGTTTTTAGGAAGTCTGAATGAGACATTATTGATGAATAGTCACTATATTTAATGATATACCTTGGGGCTATGACCATATCAATGTTTCACCTTAAGAATTGTTACTTTGTCATTTTACTTAGTATCATCTTGAAGGGTCTTGCTTCCAATACCTAATGGAAGAGTTAGTACTCAGTAAATTAAAGTGAGGACTGTTGGTAACAATATCACCAATCTTACAATTAATAAATGAAAACACCTCCGGGAAATGTTTCAGGCATGCAGTAACAGCTGTTAATATATTGTTCTTGTGCAAAAAACTAAAGCAGCAAGAATTTAAGTGACTTTGAATAATAGAATTTAGAGCTGGGAAACCTTAGGAGATACGTCTTAACCTCTTCATTTTATAATTGAGGAAACTGAGAGCTCAGCGAAGTTATGACTTGCCTAAGGTCACTCAATTAGTCAAGGTTGTTTCCTTCCCAATTCGACTATTTCTTGGGATCATAATTTAAACCAAGAGGCAATAACAGGGTCTTTATGAGATATAGCTCTATTGCAAAGGCCTTCAAGGGGAAAAGCTTATAAATTTATTTTGTTCTTGATCAATTTTATTATTTTGTTTATTGGACATAAAACTATTTATTAGGCTTTCATAAATTTATTCTCAACTTCAATCCCTTTAGCTTGAATTTTCTTCTGAAGCCTTACATTTCTCAACTGTGAGGTAAAATTATCCTTGTTTGGAAACAGAATAAATGATGCTTAGTATAAAATCTCAATTTACCCTGGCTGCAGAGGAGCTCTTGCCTGCTCTGCCTGAAACATGCTCTCCCCTGGACCCAGGCTCTGCCACAGCAGCTTTCTTTCTGTTCCTTGGGGTTGTTTGACCTAGGACCTTTGCACTAGCTGCTGCTTTGTCATAGGAATGTGCTTTTCCTGATCTTTGGAGGGCTGGCTTCTTCAGAGAGTCTTCCCTAAATTCCTGCTCACACACCATTAATTTTTTAAAACTTTTTATTTGATGTATGACATTAATGTACACAAATCATGAATTATCACAAAATGAATACACTTGTGTAACCACCACCCAGGTGAAAAACAAAACCACTAGGAATCTAGAAGCCTTGCTTGTCTCCCATTGTGACTTCCCTTCTATGAAACTAGTGACTATCTTGACTTCTAACACTATAGCTAAGCTACTTTTGTTTATATAAGTAGAATCACACACACTATGTATTCTTCTGTTTCTGGTTTTTACCTATGTACCAATTTTTTATGTGCATTCTCCGTGCTACATAACATTCCGTTGCATCAATATACCACAACTTATATATTAGTTCTGCTACTGGAGACATTTGGGTTTCTAGTTTGCAGCTATGCCAAATACAATGATACTGTAAACATTCTTCTTTTTTTTTTTTTTTTGATGACAATACAAACCTTTCTCTGTCAGGTTGATAAAACCTAAAAGTGAAATTGCTGAGTTATAAGGTGTGTGTATATATTCAAATTTGGTAGATACTGCCAAAGTGCTTTCCAAAATTATCTTGATTTAACTTTTCACGCAGCAGTAAGAATTTCCATTGTGCCACATCCTCACCAATACTTAGCATTCGAAATCTCTTTAATTTTAACCTTTCTGATGAGTGCATGGCATTTGTTTTAATTTGCATTTCTCCTAAGTACTAATAAAGTTGATTGCTTTTATTTATTTTCGCTATTTAGAGATCTTTTTTATTTGTAAAATGCCTGTTCAACTTTTTTTTAAGATTTTATTTATTTATTTGACAGAGAGACACAGCAGGAGAGGGAACACAAGCAGGGGGAGTGGGAAAGGGAGAAGCAGGCTTCCCACTGAGCAGGGAGCCCGATGTGGGGCTCAATTCCAGGACCCTGGGACCATGACTTGAGCCGAAGGCAGCTGCTTAACGACTGAGCCACCCAGGCGCCCCCCACCTGTTCAACTTTCTTACACATGTATTGGGTTATGCTTTTTAAAATTTATTTTTGGAGTAATGTTTATATATCTCTGGATATGTACCTTTGTCAATTCTGTGTTATAAATTGTTGGAGGAGGTCATCAAGAGGACATGACCACTGGTTGACCCGAGAGCTGCACCTGGGGAATCAGAGACTTCTCACCCCTCCCCCACCCTTGGAATGTTGGTTCCAGGTGCCCTCCATTTCCAGCTGGAGCAGTTTTCAAGAATGCAGCTGGAGACAGCAATGCGTAGTTGAAACCACCTGGATGGTATAGATGTGACTGAAGCCATTTAAGGCCTCTATATAAGCTTTAAGATGCAGGTGGCGGGTGTGGGCATTTACTTGTGGGGCTGCCCAAGACAAACCTCCTAAGTAAGTTCCCTAGCTTCTTAATCTGGTACCTCTAATTTGGAGTGGTCTGCTTCTTTCTTCAATCTCTCTTTGCCCTCTGCCTATGGGGAAAAATTTCAGATTTCACCTGGAAAACTTCCGAGGTTTTTCGCCAACCCAAGTATCTTCTCACATTCTCATGTTTGATTTTTTATTTTCTTAGTAGTGACTTTTTGGGGACTAGAGTTCTTAAGTTTTTCCAACCTATTTTTTTCATAAGTTGTTGTTAAGGAGTCCAATTTTTCAATCTGTTTTCTTTTTCTTTTTTGTAATTGGTTGTTAAGGAATCTTTCCATGCATGATGGATGGGAGATATCCTAATACGTTGTTGTCTGCATACCTTTTGCATTTGGGTTGATAATATACCTGCAATGAATTTTGCTTGTGAAATGAGGTAGGCATGTATGAGCTATTTGTCCTGTCAGATTCATTTTCCACTCTTCTCTCTGTTTTCTGCTCCAGGAGGCAGGCCTTCACTTAAAGGTAAGTGGGACTGATTTAGCTGAGTTGTAAGAGTTTCTTTCGCTGATAGTGCTCAGGAGTTAAAAATTCACCATAACAGGCCAGGTGCTGGATTTATGACCATTATTATCATTGGCTGTCTACGAAGTCCCCCAGATATACTCCTCTCAGACTTTATGTAGCTGTTGTTTTTCTTTCTTTCTCGGTGCTACAATTTTAAGAGTGCCAAACCTGCTCTTATTTTGGTGTATACTTCATAATGAACAGCTATGTCATCTGTAATGAACAGATGGATGTAGGAAATCTGTATATCCCTCCTACTTCTTTGGAGAAAATCTTTCATGAAGAACTATTTGATCATGTCAGTTGGGCAAGGAACTCCCCAATACTTGGATTTTTTTAGGTTTCTTTGTAAATCTTGATGTCAGAGGCTCCTGTTAAGGCATCGAATAATTCGCTGAATCAGGCAGATTGACATTTATTTAGATTTCTTAGGCCATAATAACTTGAGCATCCTACATTTTCACCTGGATTGATTACCGATTACATGTCAACTGACTTTTTGAGGAGAAACAAGAATACAAGAGATTAAAGTTATTTTCCTCTTTATTTATTCTTAGTTGTTAAATTCAACCTAAGGTCAGTGCTTCCATTTACACACTAGAAGCAAAGCCAATCTAACACATCATTTGATAAATTTTATGTTTTGGCAAGTCTCTTTTCTGTTCATCTTTGGGGGAAA